GTGGGCATGTTCAGTGTTAGTAAGTAGGCTATCAAACAGGTGATGGCATTTTCAGATGGCTTTAGACAGATAAACAAACAGAACAATGCACAGTACAGAAAGTAAACTATAATGGTTCTAGACAGTTTTACTTACTTTTTTAATGATGATAGATTTATTCATCGATCATTTGTATAATTTTTTTATTACTTGCATGAAATGGTATATTTCCAAATAAACATAGTACAGAGTATTTCCATTACAACTAACTTGCAGAGTATGCTGGCCTTGCTAAAGAGAAAGCTTAGGTTAAATTATTGCTGCCAAACTGTATGAGGTATTGATTACATCTTTGACAGCTTCTTCTTTGTTTCATGCTGAGGGCTGTTATAGTTGTTGTGCCTAAACTGGACAAAGAACCGGAACTATGCTCTTCCTACAGGCCCATTTCACTTTTAAATGTGGATGCCAAGATCCTCACAAAAATATTAGCTACCCGTCTAAACAAGGTAATCCTTTCTTTAGTGCTTAGGGAGCAGATGGGATTTATGCCTGATAAGGGTACTGATACTTACCTGCAGCAGTTGTTTATAGTTATTGCTCATACTAATATGGGGGTGAGCCCGGGGATGGTGGCTTCCCTAGATGCTGAAAAAGCTTTTGACTTGGTGGAGTGGGACTATTTGTGGTTAGTATTACATAAATTTGATTTTGAACCCACCTTTATATCATGGCTGTGATTGCTATACTCAGTTCCGACGGTTAGGATCTGTACGAATGGAACTATAAAGGGTTGCCCCTGCTTCCTGGCCTTCTTTGCACTGGCCATTGAATCTCTAGCAATGTTGCTATGGGCTTCCCCCGCAGTCTATGGCATATCAGTACAACCCCTGATGGAAAAGGTGTCCTTATATGTCTACGATACCCTCCTATACTTATATGATTCCCACCAGTCTCTGGTGGCTGCCTTGGAGGTCATTAACCTTTTTTGCTCCTTCTCTGGTATCAAAATAAATTGGGATAAGTTGGTCCTGTTCCCTTTGACCCGGGAGGTGCCTCCCTTGAATATGCCCGCCCCCCTTACCCTGGGTAACTCATTTTAAATATCTTGGTGTCTATGTGCAGAAAGACTTGAAGTCATATTTGGAGGATATTCTTTATCCGATCTTTCAGCACTTTCTTCAGAAATCCTCTACTTAGAAAACACTGCCATTGACAACAAAGGATAGAATTAACTTGATCAAAATGACCTTCCTTCCTAAATTTCTACAAATTTTAGACATATCCCTGTTCCTACTCCTAATGCTTTTTTTTGCCAAATTAGTTCAGGCTGTCACTTCTTGTTTGGGCGGGTTCTGTTCTGTGGGTAGTTAGGTCCACCTTACAGCTTTCTTTGTCTGATGGAGGCCTGGCACTGCCTTGTTTTATGAAATATTACTGGGTGGTGGTCTTGATCCAACCCTGTGGTAAATTTAGAGGCTGCACTTCTTGGGTCCTATTCAAAGCTTAGTAACTTGGCATATCCAGGGCCTCGCTCTAACTTGAATGTTACTACACCCATAAAAAACCCACAGTGATAGTTAGGAAGCAGGTTACCGTATTTCTTAGTGAACCACAGACTATTTCCCCTCATATTCCTTTATGGGGCAATCCATCTTTGCCTCATTTGAGGTCCATGCCAGACCTGCAGGTTTGGGCCCGATATGGCTTCAAGACTGTAACACATCATGCCTGAAGGACGTTTTCTTCCCTTTATAAAGATGAAATGTCAATTTCAGATTCCTTCCTGGATGTACTTCAGGTTTTTACAGCTTAGATCGTGTGCAGTTTCCAGATCCCATAAAACTTACCTCTCACTGATGGAGATTGGAACGAGGGTCTCCAATAGTCCATCACAATTTCAGCTAAAGACCGTTTTTTTCAATTGAAATTTCTTCATATGGTATATTACATGCCCCAGAGACTGTCAGCCATTTACCATACTAATGAGGATACCTGTCCTAAGTGTAGCTGAGAGGTAGGGAATTTTATCCATATGGTCTGGTTCTATTTGCTGCTTCAAAACTTTTGGTGGCGGTAGTTGCTGGCATGAATACGATTAGTGGAGTCACAATTACAGTGGATCCCCTGTTTCTGATAGCCTGTCCACCAACATCCACACTAAATTGTTCATTTTTTATGCTATATACTATGCAAGGTAAACTATTTCGTCAAAATGGAAAACGCCAGACCCCGCCAACGGTCTCTGCAAGGAAATCTATGATCAATGCCACCCTACCCCTACCGCTATACAAGTTGACCTACATAAGATGTAACTGCCCTAAGAAATTCCATAAACTATCCTGGGTAGAAGCTTGGAACCTTACGATCTATTACTTTGGTTATAGATCATTTTTGTTTTGTTGATTTTTTCTTCCCATCCTATGATACCCCATCAGGGGGTATATAACTGATGACCCCTCTCTACCTATTTTTTTTATATTCTGTTCTATGCATCCCATTCTTGTCTCTTCCACCCTCCCTCCTACATGCCCCCCTTCCTTCTAAATACAATAATCAATGTCTACCTGGCTGAAAACAGTACCAACATATTTTTTAAAATGTTACTACACATTTAATTGACAGTAAGGCTAAGTTTTGACATGCAGCAATTTCTACTGCTCTCAGAAAATCCTGGTGCCTCCTGAATGTCTATTTGTTTGTTTGTTTTTTTTTGGGGGGGACAATGATTTTCAATAGGGCTATCACACCACAACTGCAAGCCAAGCATTTGGTTCATGGTTGCAGCATGATCCCGTTGACTTGTATGAGTGAATTTGACAGGCTGTGACACCTCTCAAACTCAGCAACCCAAATAAAATTTTCTGGGGCCACGTATCAGAAAATCACAGCGATGGTTTGTGCACAGCTTCCTTTGGCTGTATGATCTACAATAAAATAAACCTACCTGCCTGCTCGCAGTCTGTCTTAGAATGTACACTGAGCTGCGCATGTGCGGTTCAGTAAATATTGCAGCACTGTGAACTGGGATGATTGAACTCCTGCAAATTTCTGTGAGCTATGTCATTCTGCTTTGGCCAATCAAGATTTCCAAAGACAGGCACTTGGAAGAAGCTGGGGTAAGATGCTGATGCAGGGAAGGGACCTCGCAGGCATCTGACCGTAAGGTAAGTATCTCAGATTTTAGTTCTCACCACTATCAATAGTTCATATAAGCATTTTATATCTGTTATTTATGTTATATTTTGTAAAAAATACCACGTTAGGCTTAATTCACATTTACAATGTTTTTTAATGGGTGAGCAGCTGTGAATTGTGTATAACTGTGCTGTGACTCTTGGTTTGAGAATTGGCTTCTAGGTCTGGATGGAGAGCATTGTCATCCTTCAACTATTGTCAGTATTACTGTAGTTCAGAAACATTTTATCTGAAACTATCTGTATTCTCCGTTGTTTTTTAAGGAAATACATTATGATCATAGTTAAGGTTCTTGTTATCTGACGTGTTCTATCAGTAAATTGTTGCATAGCACTGAATTGAAGATCAGAGTGCACGCCTTCTACTATCTGCTCCTTGTGAGTCAGAAACTTGATGAATGATGACATCATAAGCTGCAGTTTAAAAGTAATTACAAATTCCTAAAGCACTGAGAGATTACAGTAGAACGAGTTCAAATCCAAAATGAATAAGTAGGCCATCTGTCAAATATTCAAAGTGGAACTATGGGAAAAACCAAGAAGCACCTTGGCCATAATGCTGCTAGTCTAACATGTTTTCTGGTTCTGATAGTATGACCTCCCCAAAATGGTTATGCTCCTTCATTATCATCATCAGCTGGAAAGGATTATATATTCTAGACTAAATAGCTAAAACACATACCTGTGATAGAATAAAAACAACCCCCCCTCCCACCAGGGGAGGTACAATCAAAATACTCTAACATACTGCTCTTCTCCTGTTTGCTATGCCTTCATAGTCATGCTGCAGCCTCTGCAAAAAGTCTAGGCAAGGACCAAGTATATCCCTATGGATTGTACATGTCTACTGCAGGGCACACCCACATACCTTGATGGCGCCTTGGCTTGGCAATTGGCTACTCAGACATTGATCACTGCATTGCTTCATTAACTTAATTAAAGGATAACTTTACCCAAGAATAAACATACCAGTCCTTAGATGTGATGCCTGCATTGGTTTTATTTTTTGGGCTAAGAACATTTATTAGCATGTACAAACAATACTTATGCAGTGTCCTTGTCACTTCCTGTGAGCTGTACTGAGTGTACAAAAATGTTAGTTTTCTTTCTTCTGTAAATTACTAATCTCCCCATCCGCCATGTAATGGAAATGAACAATGGCAGAAAAAAGCCTGAAAAAAAGAAAAGTAATGCAGTCATTTGGATGCTGTTGGATTTGGTGCTAAAACACATCCCATTGAGTGCACAGATTATATACCATGTCACTCACTCTGCACAATCTCAATCCAGAAAATGTCTTTCACAGATTGTAAGGTGTTTTGTGATTGGACAAAAGGAGATTGTGATGTTTATCCACACCTCCTCCATTCACAGAATGCATGTTCTGTGAAAAGAATACAAGAATGTTTTGAACGGTGAAGGTGTAGAGCAACCCACTATCATCTACCATCTTTTCGCTCCATAAGACAAACTTTTTCTCCCCCCAAAAAATCTCCTGTACTATGTCCGCAGTCTCTGGTCATCTCCTGTACTATGTCCGCAGTCTCTGGTCATCTCCTGTACTATGTCCTCAGTCTCTGGTCATCTCCTGTAGTAGATCCGCAGTCTCTGGTTATCTCCTGTACTATGTCCACAGTCTCTGGTCATCTCCTGTACTATAGCCCCCCCAAAAAATCTCCTGTAGTATGTCCGCAGTCTCTGGTCATCTCCTGTACTATGTCTGCAGTCTCTGGTCATCTCCTGTACTATGTCTGCAGTCTCTGGTCATCTCCTGTACTATGTCCTCAGTCTCTGGTCATCTCCTGTACTATATACAGACCAGAGACTGCAGACATAGTACAGGAGATGACCAGAGACTGCGGACATAGTACAGGAGATGACCAGAGACTGCAGACATAGTACAGGAGATGACCAGAGACTGTGGACATACTATAGGAGATGACCAGAGACTGCAGACATAGTACAAGACATGACTAGAGACTGCATACAGTATGAGTCTCTGGTCATGTCTTGTACTATGTCTGCAGTCTCTGGTCATCTCCTGTACTGTGTCCGCAGTCTCTGGTCATCTCCTGTACTATGTCTGCAGTCTCTGGTCATCTCCAGTACTGTGTCCGCAGTCTCTGGTCATCTCCTGTACTATGTCTGCAGTCTCTGGTCATCTCCTGTACTATGTCTGCAGTCTCTGGTCATCTCCTATACTATGTCTGCAGTCTCTGGTCATTTCCTGTACTGTGTCCACAGTCTTTGGTCATCTCCGGTACTAGTCTGCACTCTCTGGTCATCTCCTGTACTGCATGTCTGCAGTCAGTTTGGTCATTTCCTGTACTGTGTCCGTCATCTCTGGTCATCTCCTGTACTATGTCCGCAGTCTCTGGTCATCTCCTGTACTATGTCTGCAGTCTCTGGTCATCTCCTGTACTATGTCTGCACTCTCTGGTCATCTCCTGTACTATGTCTGCAGTCTTTGGTCATTTCCTGTACTATGTCTGCAGTCCATTGGTTCAGAATATTTTTTTCTGGTTTTCCTCCTCTAAAACCTAGGCGCATCTTGTGGTCAGGTGTGTCTTATGGAGCGAAAAATACGGTATGTACTCTATCCAGAAGTGTTAGTCTTCGGTGTTAGTGCCAGATGCATACTGTGCGGTATAGACTGAATTAAATAAAATTTTCCTACACAAAGCAGCTACATGTGGCACACACTTTATTGTGGTGGTATTTATTATTACAGTGCAAATGTCCAAAATTTTTTTGGGCCAGGGTTCAGCTTTAAGCAATAAGGGGACATGACTTACATGTAGCACATTTATCCGTATTGGTATCTTTGGCCTTGAAACCTCTCTGGTTGCTATCATTCAAGTCTTCCCCAAATCACCTTTGCAGTTTGGAAATACAAGGGTTGACCTGGAGGAGCAGATTCATGCGTTTTTTTGACTGTTGGAATACACAGATGTATTAGGCAAGTAGGGGCAATTATGTGTCCGAACAACCATAATTTTGAATGTGCTAGACTCCCCGCTGCCATTACCATGTTGGCAGATGTAGTGACCCTTGATGGTGCTACTACCTTGGTTATATGATGCTGGAGTCTGTGCCCTACTTATTATCTTTAGTGGGTGGGGCCAGTGAGTTTGGGTATGGGAACAGGATAATGTAGGTCTGTGTCCTCTGTAGAGAGTGAGAGAGAGCCATTTACAGGGCTGAACTGCCAGAAGACTGGAATGCAGTCGAGAATACATGTGAGCAGTACTCAGGAGGGAGAAGGCAAAAGGACTTTAGCTATCCCTGACCTTTGTTAGCAGGTTTGTAGTCTAAAGTGGAGGAGGCCTTCAGGACTTAAGACTGGTGTGAGAACCCATTACTGGGGGATCTAATGGAAGAGCTAGAGGAGAGATAGCTGGCATAAGGAGTTTGTGTTAGCCATAGTCAAGTGCTCCCCACTAAGGAGACTACTGTTCAGAAAGTCGTGTTGTATTCTGTACTGTAAAGGCACTGTTCAGAAAGTTGCGTTAATGACTTCAATGTTATGCAAATGTTCTTTAGTAAATCGTTGAACTGTACCCTATGTGTAGACAAACCTCATTCTGGGTAACAGGTCTCTGGTCTCAGACTGATTTAGTAAGTGACACAATGTGACTGAGTTTCTCCCAAAAGCAGAGGCATCCCTAGGGTTGGTGTCACCCAGTGCGGTAATATGTGGTGTCGCCACTCCAGAGAGGAAGGAACGGTGCCAGTGTAGCGGTAAAATTAGTATACCAACCTGTGAAGATATGTATCCCCTGAAGCAACTGCGCATGTGCCGATTTCAGGCCAAAGAAGCCGATTGCTGAACTCCAAATTTAGCACAGAGCTGCCACAGTTACCCCTGGCAGCTGTCACTGTGCCGGAAATCCGGGATCACCCCAATAACTGGCCAGGACCTTCACAGAGCCCAGAAGCTCTGCTAGCATCCTAATCCTGCACCCCCTGTGATGGTGTCACCCAGTGCAGCCTGCACCCCCCACACCCCCCTAGGGATGCCACTGCACAAAAGGTAGGTCTATACTTATCCTACCTGGAAAGGAAGTAGGGTGGAACCTGGGCCAGCTTGGCAAGAATCGCTATCCAATCCAGGTCCCTTACAAAAAGACAGAACCAATACAAAACAAAATGAGAGTCTGTCAATGAGTCAGGCAATCACACTGTAGTACCCTCCGAGTTAAGTCAGAAGAGTTGGATTTTCTGTTTTGGTTTGCTGTGGCTTCACAAGCTGTAAGGTTGATTGTTTCTCCCTAGTTCTGTTGAAAAGTTCCAGAACTTGGGGCAGGAATATATAAAGCCTCAGCTTGAATATTTACTACCTTCTGACTAATCCCTGGGGAGTTGTGCCCAGTAGGCGGTGAGAAAAGGGGGTAAATAGGCTGAAGTCTGGACAGAGGAGTTAGTTGGTATTTGGTCCTACCTGCCTGAGGATGGACTGCTGGGGCTTCAGGGAGCTGCTTGCCAATGGAATCATCCAGGATTGGCTGCTGGACTATTCAGTGCTATGGACAGAAACCTTAAGCTTAGATCTCTCTCCTGGGTATGTGTCTAGAGCTTAATCACTGAGCTGCAGTCCCCATGATCTACAGCTGAGGATAGTAACTGTTTCAGTTAGCCCTGAATCTGCTCAGCATCACTTGTGGTCATCAACTGCAATGGTATTTGACTGCTCTAGCCTACCTCCATCTCTGAAAAAATCCCTTTGTTCATGGCATTCAGCTGGAAGCTTTGTGAATGGATTACTGCTATAGAGAGATATTCCCTCAGCTTGATTCTGCTTCAAGCATTTTTTTGGAGTATCCCATTTAAAGTGGTTGTAAAAGCGTAAGGTTTTTCACCTTCATGCATTCAATGCATGAAGGTAAAAAACCTTCTGTGTGCAGGCCCCAGCCCCCTCAATAGTTACCCAAGCGCCATCTAGATCCAGCGATGTGCATGACAGCCTCAGCTGTCCCTGGTCTCTGCATCCTTATTGGCTGAAACAGCAGTCGGGAGCTATTGGCTGTCAATCACAACCAGTCAGCTAATGAGGAGAGAGAGGCGGTGGGACCAAGCCGTGGCTCCATGTGTGATCAGACACACAGAGCAGCAGGTGCCCCCATAGAAAGCTACTTGCAGTGGGGGCACCCGACAGAAAGGAGGAGCCAGGAGAGCCCGCGGGGGATCAGAGAAGAAGAGGACCCAGGCTGCTCTGTGCAAAACCACTGCTCGCATCAGGTAAGTATCGACATGTTTGTTATTTAAAAAGAAAGGAAAAAATAACTTTTAGTATCGGTTTAACATTGTTCTTCTGTTCTACAGCAATAAATCTCAAAAAGACATCCCCTAGACCAGGGGTGGGCAACCCTAAAGAGATGGAGATCTAACTGAACAACATTGCAGAAGTCAAAGATCATCGGGCACAGTGTTGCCCAGTGTTGCCACAACACACCTGATTTAAACCTCTAATTGCCATACCACCATCGCATGCATTGCATGGCATGGGCTTAAATCAGGTGGTGAGAAGGCAAAATATCGCCTCCTCACCACCTGTCAAACATACTTGGATTGCTTTTTGGAAGAGCAGCAGTGCCTGCTGCACTTGTGAATGAGTCCTTAGTTGCATTCGGCAGCAGCACCCTTAGGGCTTGTTCACATGTTAAGTTGGGGGGTAGTAAAATCCTGCAGCTGAATCATGGCTTTACTGCACCCAATCCTACCCCATTTAGCTGCTGAGGCAACAGCCAAATATACGCACATGTTGCAGCAGGAATTAAACCCCCTATTGCGTTTGGTGGGTGCTTCCACTTGCTTCCCATTCAAGTAAACAGGGCCACTGTGCAAGTGCCCCGCAACTGCATGCTTGTGCCGGGTCCAAGGGGTTAAAGCAGGTGGTGAGAAAGTAACACAACACTACCCACTTTAACCCTTTGTTTGCTGTATTGCACAAGGTTGCAGGGTACTTGCAGAGGGGCATCATTCACTTGAATGGGTCATGCTTGGCAGGTGCTACACCCACTAACGATGACAGGGCGTATAACTACTGCTGCTTCATGTGTACACCCCTGGCCACTGCAGCTAAAGGGGGTGCTGAATGCAGGAGATTTGGTGTACTTGCAGAAAGTGTACCACACCTGTAGGATATAATTAAAGGCTATGGCTAAGTACAGGAAAGCTGTAGGTACACGTCACTGCACCCGCGGTGTGGGTAAACCTCAGCGCATTAGTGTGAAAGCGGCCCTATACTATTTTGCCCAGTGTATTGCTTCACATTAACCTGAAGATCTCTTCTTTTCTGCTGCTGGCACCACTCTGGAGACCGCTTGCCAGGATTAGAGGTGGAGTGCAGCTGGTATCACTCCGCATGGGACAGGAGCCATCACTACAGAGGAGACATCGGCTCATGCAGCTCTTGCTCCCTACTACAGCTCCAACTTTACAAGTAGTCCCTCAGCATTGCACTCTGTTTGTTTCTCTGGGATGGTAGGTCAGCAAGCCTAGACCACGATCTACCAGTCACCTGGCTGCGATTTACTGGTAGATCACAATCTACAGGTTGCTGACCCCTGCACCCCTGAGCTAGACCCCTGTTTTCTGAGCTGGAATGAGTGACCTGTTTGCTGTGTGCCTGGCTGCCTCTACACTGAATAGCAAAGAACTTGGGCAAATCCAGCGGCCCCTTCAGGGGTTAGTGCCACAACATGAAAACCTGGATCTGTAGGAATTGGCACATTTATCATTTATTCGCCTACACTCAGATAGCACGAGCTGCCAGCAGTTTCTGTGTGCGTGTTTATAAAAGCTTTAATCTGTTGATACTATCCTTCGATTGTTGTTTCACAGATTTCTGGGTGAGGTTGTGAGTCATTCAGCCATCACACTGGTTTTACTCAAGCAACATAAAATAGTACAGGGAAAGAGGCAGATAAAATCTGCTTGGCCTTCTGGATGGATGGACAGGTACAGTGCATACAAAGGGGGGTTTTTTGGTTTGTATTTTTTACAAAGTATCGGCTCACAGCTTCACCCCGTATCCTGTTGTCAGATAGAAACAAAGGAGGTTTATTTATTGTTTGATGAGATCACCTGCAAAGTAATGCTCATTATAATGAAGGGTATTTATAAACTACAGACAAGCCAGGGGCACAATATAAGGCCACTTTCACACGATGTTCCAATCGGGTCCATCTGCCCGTTTTTCAGAAGGACCCGATTGCAACATCTATTCTCCTCTATGGAGCAGAAGGACATGTGTCTGTTTACACCCCCCAACATCCAATCCGATCCAATCAACCAAAAAGTGATGGATGGGGATCTGTTCCCTTTCTGTCCATCGGACAGGATGGCAGTCGGATGGAAAGGGACAGGCAGTCCCTTTCCATGCGACCACTAATAGAGGACAGTGGGCTGTGATTATGCAGAGTGGACACAGGCCTGCAATCTGCTTGCTTAGCGGGGATCAGAAGACAGATCCCCCAGCTGAGCAAGTAGATCCGCTTATGGGCCCGCTCTGTGTGAAAGGGATCTTAACCCCTTGGCGCCGGCGCCTCCCACTCCTTTAAGGGTTTCAGAAGCCAGGAGGCAGGGTGGGGTTTTAGGGTCATGTGACCACCGTGATTCGCCGTCACGGCGGTCGCATCATTGGGAAAGGTCCCGATCGAAAGAGGAGATCGGGACCTTTCTGTGAGTACTAGACATGTGCTGGGAGCGCACAGGGTGTGCACTCTCAGCATATATGTTTTTCTTAATTGCCCGCAAATGTGCGGCCGCTCGGTGTCAAGGCCCAGACGCTGGGAGGCCACACATTTGCATGCAGCTGGCGCCAAGAGGTTAATATCAATGTGCCTGCTCATGTAGATGCTATATCAAAGGAACAATCCGAGGAATTTTGTGAACTTCTAGCAAAACTTTCCGCCAAAGAAATTTACACATATGTACAAAGTAAATTTCCACATGTTATTGCTATGCTCTATAAGGCTCCATGTACACGGGACATTTGGAAAACTCTTCTGAACGATGGAAACTGACAGCTGGAAAACGTAGGTTAAAAAACCTCTGTTTAGCCACGTTTACATACCATGTCTATGCGCGTTTATGAGCGTTTGCATTTAGAAGATAACTTCAGGAGACCTTCCAAAATGCCCAGAATGCACTGAAAACAGTAAAAATTTTACTATTTCAGACATTTTTAGAGAAATAGAAAGAGCAGAAGCAGAGAGAGAGCAGTATGTGTTGAGATTAGCTGTCTTTTCTGGTTGTATTCACTATGGATCCCATCATGAGCATAATGCAGCACGTTCTGCCATTTTTTGCTGCATAAAAAACCTGAAACTGACTGTACTGGTGTGCTAGCTCCATTTGAATACATGGAAAACACTTTGCATGCATTTCTGATGATGAAAAAAGGCTCTGGACAGCATCTGGATATGAAACAGTTAAAAAACGCTTCTAAACACAAATGCTTATAAACGTGGTTAGCCGCGTTTACACGTGTTTACAAGCATTTGACATTTGAAACGCTGATAAAATCTATTCCTGAACGCAAGTTTGGTACGTTCAAAAAAACACTGTAAACTCAACTGCCTGTAAACGACAATGTGTACATGGACACATAGGAAAACATTAGGGAGAGTTCAGGGGCTGCTTAAAAAAAACACAGAAGGTCGTCGCCAATCTCATTCAAAGAATGGACCACTGGAAATCTCCTCCGCACCCATCATTTCCTACAGAGGAACAAATTCAAATCCTTCGCTTCATTAGAAGAAACATATAGCCTCCCAGCATCTGAAATATTCAGATATTTACAATTACAACACTTCTACAGCCCCTACACCATAGCATCTAGCCAAACTAATACCATGTCTCCCTTCGAGCGGGCTTGCTATAAAGATCCCCATAGACGCGGTCTCATTTCCTGTCTATATTCCCTTCTCACAACTTCGGCTGCCTCATCCCCCCCCCCATATACCTATAGGTGGGAAACAGATCTAAACAGACAATTAGACCCATCTGACTGGGACCACATTTGGGCCAATACGAAATCATCTTCACAGAATGTTGTAGCTTTGGAAACTAACTATAAAGTCCTAACTCGTTGGTATTTGGTCCCAACAAAAATTGCAAAATACACCTCTAACTACCCCCCTAATTGCTTTAGAGGCTGTGCTGACCTGGGAACACACTATCACATATGGTGGGACTGCTTAGTAGCCCAAACGTTCTGGACAGATGTCTTTAGAATGATATCCACATTTTGTGCAAACCCGCTTCAACCTAACCCGACAACGGCTCTTCTTAATCTACGCTCCCCCGGCGTAACCACACCGCAATTCAAACTCATCCTGCAAAATAACCACAGCGGCCAAACAGGTTATAGCAAAATCTTGGAAATCCCCCACTTTAAGCATAGCCGCAGTTAACACTAGGGTAACCCAAGCTATGATACACGCAAAGGTGGAAGCCACAATCCTTGCTACAATCCCTAAGTTCCTGAATGTTTGGAACCCTTGGGTAGAACATTTCCTCCCGCAAAATTTTGACGAATCACTCCTTCTTCCCTAATATGCAAAGTGTGAAAGTGTACATTTTCAGTACTAACCTGGTACCACTCCTAACCGAATACACAAAGGATTATGTCCTCCCCTGCCATCCATGGAGTCATCCCTATCACCCTCCCTCCCCCCCCCCCCCCCTCGGTCCCCCCTCGGTCTATCCTTAGCTCCACATGCAGCACTGGAGAGTCATTACTCACGCTGATTAAACTCATTATGGTTTGTTGTTTCTTTCTGTTACTAATCTTTATTTACTCAATACCCTAAGTTATGCTGCACTGCTTCTTTGAGTCTCTCTCTCCTTATATATAAGGACATTGATACTGTGCATTTTTTTTTTTTTATACCCCTGTATTTTGCTGTCAATGTACTGTCCAATGCCTACTGTTAATATCCCCCTCCCCTTGTTATAATACCAATAAAAAGTTTGAACAAGAAAAAAAACACAGAAAAGCCCCTGAATGTGAGTTTATCAGCTGCAGTGTACATGAACCCTAACCGTGGTGTCCAACCTAAGGCCTAGGGCAGTGATGGCGAACCCGTGGCATGCGTGCCACAGCCGGCACGCCGAGCCTTATCTGTGGGCACGCCAGGAGAATACCGTATTTTTCGCTCCATAAGACGCACTTTTTTTCCCCCAAAAAAGGGGGGAAAATGTCAGTGCGTCTTATGGAGCGAATATAGAGCGGCCGGTCCGGTATTTCCACCGCCGCCGTGTCAGAATCCCGGGCCGGCCGCTCAGCTCTGCAGTGGGACCGTACCTGTCCCTCTATCCAGCGGCGCGCTGTCTTCCCGGCTTCTGTAGTGTGCGTGACAGCCGGGTCCCAAGTGCGCATGCGCAAGAAGCAGTGCTCTTTGTGAATGGTAAGGCGGTACCTGGGACACATGACAGATCCCAGAAGCCGCCGGACCAATCACAAAGCGCAGCGCTTCTCGCGCATGCGCACTGGGCATCCGGCTGTCCGACGAGCGCCCACACTACAGAAGCCGGGAAGACAGCGCGCGGCTGGATAAAGGAACAGGTAAGATAAAAAAAAAAACTCTGCGGAAGTAAGAGCGGGTACCTGTCAAATTCAGGTACCCGCTCCCCCTCCCTCCCCAAAGGTCAGCAGTCATCTCCTGTACTGTCCGCAGTCTCTGGTCATCCCTGTGCTTTCCGCAGTCTCTGGTCATCTCCTGTACTGTCCGCAGTCTCTGGTCATCCCTGTACTGTCCGCAGTCTCTGGTCATCCCTGTACTGTGTCCGCAGTCTCTGGTCATCCCTGTACTGTGTCTGCAGTCTCTGGTCATCCCTGTACTGTGTCTGCAGTCTCTGGTCATCCCCTGTACTATGTCTGCAGTCTCTGGTCATCCCTGTACTGTGTCTGCAGTCTCTGGTCATCCCTGTACCGTGTCCGCAGTCTCTGGTCATCTCCTGTACCATGTCCGCAGTCTCTGGTCATCTCCTGTACTGTGTCCGCAGTCTCTGGTCATCCCTGTACTGTGTCCGCAGTCTCTGGTCATCCCTGTACTGTGTCCGCAGTCTCTGGTCATCCCTGTACTGTGTCTGCAGTCTCTGGTCATCCCTGTACTGTGTCTGCAGTCTCTGGTCATCCCTGTACTGTGTCCGCAGTCTCTGGTCATCCCTGTACTGTCCGCAGTCTCTGGTCATCCCTGTACTCTTAATTAGTTTGCACTACTGTACGAGTTGTTTTTTCTAAACCAAAAGCTCGATATTCAGGTTTCATTGCAGTGTTGGCACTTTGAAAGAAATAAGTTGGTTTTGGGTTGCAGTTTGGGCACTCGGGCTCAAAAAGGTTCGCCATCACTGGCCTAGGGCCTTCCTGACTTTCGGTCTGTACAGCTGTCTGTTCAACAGAAGCTGGTCTAATGACGGCTTCTGTCAAAAGGGCATGCTGAAAAACCAGCATTCAGTAAGCGTTCACAGCCAATGGCTACAAGCACTGATCAGTTTAGGGCTGAAACAACTAATCAACTTAAAATGGTTCAGAATTTCGATTTTTTAAAAATTTTGTATAGCATAATGAACACTTTCATCCTAAAGCTGCTGAATGCTGGCGAGAGGGAGAGGAGAAGAAGCCGGATTTCAGCAGTTGCAGGAGGAAAATGGAGGGAATCAAGTCCTGTATTTGCCTCTCCCACCACCCCTCCTGTCCAAGTGTAAAACAGAATGTGACAGGGATGCTGTACAGGCTCTGTGGAGCATGGGGCAGGGTCTCCATTGCGAACCATGACGCTACACCAGTGACTGGGGGGGGGGTATAACACGTCTCACCTTTCAACAACCTCTACAGGACCACAGTCGGTCCATGTTTTGAGGCATGTCCACAGTCTCTGACTACTTTGATGATCTCCTGTTGTCTGTGGTCTCTGACAGCTTTCTATAGTATTGCAGTCACTGAATAACATGTGTCCTTTTCACCCTTTAGTGAGTTCAGGGGCAACAGAAGACCCCTTATATCAAGAAATTTGAGCCTCACTAAGTATCATATCAGCAAGTAAAACCTTACTTTTTTCTCATGTAATTTTCTTTATTATTTAAAGCGGGCTCCCCCAAAAAATAAAAAGTCAGCAACTACAAATACTGTAGCTGCTGACTTTTAATATAAGGACACTTACCTGTCTCGAGCGTCCAACGATGTCCTTACCCAAGCTGATTCTTCAGTGACTTACCTGTCCAGTGATGTCCTTACCCAAGCTGATTCTTCAGTCAGCTTTGCATGTTGGCACTGGCATCTTCAGTAAGGGGAACCAGAAATGAAGCCTTGCGGCTTCATAGTCGGCTGTGTGCTGCGTTTTGTGAATGTGCTGCAGTCTTCTGGGACCTGTGAAGTGTCCCAGCAGGCAGTAGGTGTTGTGGGGGGGGGGTGGCAACTTCTGGCTCAGGTCTCCAAGGCAATCTGACCCGGAAGTGGGAGTGGGTACCTGTCAAAACCAAAAAAGTCCAGTCCATATATAGTCAAAAACAAAAATAATATCAGTTCAGTCCATACATAAAGACATAGACAGCTCTGTGCAAATCAAACTCCCAAGAGGAATGCGCAGATTGCTTCCAGATTTTGTAGTACGTGATGAGGTCAAAATCATAGGCTCCGCCCTTCATGTTTCATCAAAAATGACATCTTCTGGGGATACTTGGAGATACCTGGGGGGTATCTTACCAAAATGTCAGTTTTAGTAAGATACGTCCCAGTGGTTAAATACTTCTAGAGGAATGCAGACATTGCAGCTTTTCTCATAAAAACTCTGAGAGAGCACCAGTTGATTATTCTGAACCAGACCTTGCCAGTCAGAATCTGCATGCTAGGACATGGTGAAACAAACAGCCATTTCTTCAGAGCAACAAAAGGTGGGAATCTGGAACAATGTTTGTTAAAATCCCTGCAATATACATTGAACACCCACAGAGGATTTTTTTTACTCAAGTAAAATCAAGTCCACAACTACACTGCACACCCCATTTTTGTATTGGGACTGTGAATAGGTTTTAATAGAAACCTTGAAATCATGCTTCTAAAGGATCTGGTATAGTCACTCTTATTGACTGAAGTTGGTGCAAGGCTTTCATTAAATTTGCTTGCTTTTGAGCTTATGCTGGCAGTTTAAAGACTAGAAATATGGTGGAGGCAGAAACAAAATAACTATTTTGTACATCTTTGAAATAACAATTTGGACCCACATGTCCAGGATTTCTTAGATCCATACTGATGCAAGTGTCAGTTGTCTTTGTTAGGAGGGGTTCTGGGCAGGATTGGTGGACTTAGAAGTCCAAAACTTGCAAAGAAAGGAAGTGTTATACTAGTTTTAGGGTTGAAGCCTGGGAAGATTGAAAAGACCCTTTTCTCTTGGCAGACATAGTAGCTGTAGAAGAGACCTAGGCTTGCGGGATAAGAATACTCTTTTCCCCAGTGACTTCCTTAATTAATTTATCAGGAAATTACCCAAATAGACATTTATCATCAAAAGGCATGCATAGAAGATGCTTCTTACAAGCAGGTTCAGTGGACCAAAATTTTAGCTACAAATTCACATAGATAAGGGACATTGTAGAGACTTTGGTGAGTTACATTCTCTAGAGCACAAACAGAAAACAATAAGGCTGAGGGTATCATTCTAACTGTTCTAAGAGAACAGAGTCATCAAAGAAAGATTCCTGGTCTCTCTTATTTTGTCTTGTTTAGTTTGCAATGGTCTGGGAAACAGATATAGCAGCAATTGCCAATTGCAGGGCTGCACTTGCAAATGCAGATAAGGCCTTTATTAGGGATCCAAAACACCTATCAACAAGATCCTCTTGAGGGAACATCCTCAAATGGAAATTTGTTTAATGACAACTGAAGGTTCTACTGTATTTTTCTAGATTCCTTTTCCATAGGATACATTTTGTGCAAAAAGCTTTGGAGCATCCTTTCAGGATTAGGACAATCCACACAATCAATTTATAAGTGTATGAGAAAAGTTTTTTTTGCCATAGCCAGCCTCTTAGTGTCCATAAGAGCTTGTTTTGGCTATGGAGAATCAGGTTCAGGTTTGGCAAACACTAGTTCACCGCTGTCAAACTGGCTGCCCTCCAGCTATTGCCAAACTACAAGTCCCATGAGGCATTACAAGATTGACAAGCATGACTCCCAAAGGCAGAGGCATGATGTGACTTGTAGTTTTGCAACAGCTGGAGGGCCACCAGTTTGACACCCCTGCACTAGTTTGTACTGCATCAAGTTTTATGTCCACAGTATTCAGTGTGAAGCCATAAATTGTGCCTCGTATTATGCAGCGGAAGGAAAATCCTCTGCATTCTCCACCACAGATTTAATATCCTCAATGCTTTGCTTCATATCACCCTCAAGTAGGTTAAGAGATTCTACCTCTAATGCCTGAACAGGGTCACAGGGAATAGAGGAAGTGTTTGCCGAGTCAGATAAAGGGAGTGGTGTCATAATAGAACATTGCTTCGGGACAAGGGAACAGCTAATGCCCTGAGCTGAGTTTCCTGTAGGCCATCTTCAGTATCCATGTTATTCGACCCTTTTTTCCCAGCTCCCTTGCACCTATGATCTGCGTATGCTACATAAGAGTATCCCCATTGGGTACTCACAGAATAAACTGTAGAATGGATGGGGTTTGCATGCCCACATGCTATAACCCAGGAGCTGACCGTGTTCTCCTGTTTGTGTCTCTATGGCTGAAGTCAACAGGAATGGGGCAATGTGCTGTATGTGTTTTTGGCTGAAAAGGCAGGTGGGAATGCCCTCCTGAGACACGTCAGCTCTGAGAGAGTGGGCACAGCTTGTCAGAGTCCTGCAAAACCATTGTTCTAAAGATTTTAAATAGTGTAAGAGTGTGGGCTTTGTGACATGCTGGTAAGTACAGCGAGTCTCATCCTACCATGCACTAATAAAGAATTGTGGTTATATTCAAAAGAGAAGGAGCTTTCCTTCCAGATTACAAAACCAGCATACTCAGACTCCTGTGAAAGCCATATCCCAAATTTACAGTCACTCTTGTTAAAAGATAGTCAGTGATGCTATCACAGTATTATTTCTCAGAATTAGAATTGCAAAATAGAATAAGTTTGGCTGCCAAGTAACAAAATCAGTAAATACAGTCTTCCAGTCTCTAGTGAAAGTAAAATTCCAAAGTAAAGGTAAGCATATGAATCTCACAAAATAGTATAGTCATTTTTTCAGGTTCAGAACTGCAAAAAAAGATTAAGTTTTGTTGCTAAAAAATATAAACAACAGGCACAGCGATCTGTGAAAGTGACCTTTTTCCAAAAGCACAGGTAATGTCTTGAATGCTGGCACAACATACTGATGTTAATATTCAAGTGGATACCTGTATTCCTGTGGAGCCTTTTAGATCCTCTGCCCAGGCAGTAAAAAGAACATTTACTTTTGCCCAAGTTGAATACCAG